CGGCGCCGCGGTCCGACCGGCACACGGCCCCTCCGTCGTCGCCGCGGCCGCGTGTGCACGAAACCGTACGCTCGGCTGTGGTTTCGCTAGATACCCGACCCGGGTGGCCCCCCGCCCCGAGTGCCTACGACTCCCACGGCTGGGGCGCCCGTCCGACGCCGACTAGGAAAAGATTATCCCCGGTCGATGCACGGCACAGTTTCACGGGCACGGCGCCGCGGTCCGACCGGCACACGGCCCCTCCGTCGTCGCCGCGGCCGCGTGTGCACGAAACCGTACGCTCGGCTGTGGTTTCGCTAGATACCCGACCCGGGTGGCCCCCGGCCCGAGTGCCTACGACTCCCACGGCTGGGGCGCCCGTCCGACACCGACTAGGAAAAAATTATCCCCGGTCGATGCACGGCACAGTTTCACGGGCACGGCGCCGCGGTCCGACCGGCACACGGCCCCTCCGTCGTCGCCGCGGCCGCGTGTGCACGAAACCGTACGCTCGGCTGTGGTTTCGCTAGATACCCGACCCGGGTGGCCCCCGGCCCGAGTGCCTACGACTCCCACGGCTGGGGCGCCCGTCCGACGCCGACTAGGAAAAGATTATCCCCGGTCGATGCACGGCACAGTTTCACGGGCACGGCGCCGCGGTCCGACCGGCACACGGCCCCTCCGTCGTCGCCGCGGCCGCGTGTGCACGAAACCGTACGCTCGGCTGTGGTTTCGCTAGATACCCGACCCGGGTGGCCCCCGGCCCGAGTGCCTACGACTCCCACGGCTGGGGCGCCCGTCCGACGCCGACTAGGAAAAGATTATCCCCGGTCGATGCACGGCACAGTTCGTCAAAAATCCGTCTATCACCGTGCGTAGTGGGACGGCCGCGGAATTTCTCTACATAGGGACAGTGAAATTTTCGCTCACGGCTCTCCGAGTCCGCTGGCCGTGCTCGCCGACCACTCGCGTTGACCGTCCACGGTACACATTCACCTGCCGTAATCGTGTCGGCGGACGTCGCCGGGCCTGCCGGCATGTACACAGCCCCGGTCCCGCCGATCAACGGTGAACGTCGAGTGAAAAAAAAAATCGGATTTTCAGCTCGGCTGTGGTTTCGCTAGATACCCGACCCGGGTGGCCCCCCGCCCCGAGTGCCTACGACTCCCACGGCTGGGGCGCCCGTCCGACGCCGACTAGGAAAAGATTATCCCCGGTCGATGCACGGCACAGTTTCACGGGCACGGCGCCGCGGTCCGACCGGCACACGGCCCCTCCGTCGTCGCCGCGGCCGCGTGTGCACGAAACCGTACGCTCGGCTGTGGTTTCGCTAGATACCCGACCCGGGTGGCCCCCGGCCCGAGTGCCTACGACTCCCACGGCTGGTGCGCCCGTCCGACGCCGACTAGGAAAAGATTATCCCCGGTCGATGCACGGCACAGTTCGTCAAAAATCCGTCTATCACCGTGCGTAGTGGGACGGCCGCGGAATTTCTCTACATAGGGACAGTGAAATTTTCGCTCACGGCTCTCCGAGTCCGCTGGCCGTGCTCGCCGACCACTCGCGTTGACCGTCCACGGTACACATTCACCTGCCGTAATCGTGTCGGCGGACGTCGCCGGGCCTGCCGGCATGTACACAGCCCCGGTCCCGCCGATCAACGGTGAACGTCGAGTGAAAAAAAAAATCGGATTTTCAGCTCGGCTGTGGTTTCGCTAGATACCCGACCCGGGTGGCCCCCCGCCCCGAGTGCCTACGACTCCCACGGCTGGGGCGCCCGTCCGACGCCGACTAGGAAAAGATTATCCCCGGTCGATGCACGGCACAGTTTCACGGGCACGGCGCCGCGGTCCGACCGGCACACGGCCCCTCCGTCGTCGCCGCGGCCGCGTGTGCACGAAACCGTACGCTCGGCTGTGGTTTCGCTAGATACCCGACCCGGGTGGCCCCCCGCCCCGAGTGCCTACGACTCCCACGGCTGGGGCGCCCGTCCGACGCCGACTAGGAAAAGATTATCCCCGGTCGATGCACGGCACAGTTTCACGGGCACGGCGCCGCGGTCCGACCGGCACACGGCCCCTCCGTCGTCGCCGCGGCCGCGTGTGCACGAAACCGTACGCTCGGCTGTGGTTTCGCTAGATACCCGACCCGGGTGGCCCCCGGCCCGAGTGCCTACGACTCCCACGGCTGGGGCGCCCGTCCGACACCGACTAGGAAAAAATTATCCCCGGTCGATGCACGGCACAGTTTCACGGGCACGGCGCCGCGGTCCGACCGGCACACGGCCCCTCCGTCGTCGCCGCGGCCGCGTGTGCACGAAACCGTACGCTCGGCTGTGGTTTCGCTAGATACCCGACCCGGGTGGCCCCCGGCCCGAGTGCCTACGACTCCCACGGCTGGGGCGCCCGTCCGACGCCGACTAGGAAAAGATTATCCCCGGTCGATGCACGGCACAGTTTCACGGGCACGGCGCCGCGGTCCGACCGGCACACGGCCCCTCCGTCGTCGCCGCGGCCGCGTG